GGCAGTGTTCAAGGCCAGGTTGGATGGGGCTTTGGGCAACCTGGTCTAGTGGAGGGTGTCCCTGCCCATGGCAGGGGTGGGTTGGACTAGATGATCTTTGAGGTCCCTTCCAACCCAAACCATTCTATGATTCTATGAATAAAATGCAGGAAAGTTAACTCCGTGATTTGTGTTAGTGGTAGACTTTGACCATGCTGTCTTCTACCAAAATAAGAAACTCCACCATCATTGGTGGACACACAAAGAAGAGTTAAGACAGGGCGAACATGTACTGTAGCTTCACAGTGTAAGTTTCTAGCATTCAGGAGCTGGAAGTGCAGTTCTTGTCATGTATAGCTGTTTTTCACCACAAGTATTGGTTTGTTTAGTTGTTTTTGTCCTCTCAACCCCGACCTTCTGCATGACAAAGAATATTTAACATCAAATGTTACTGATGAGAATTAAGTAACAGACCAAATGATGGTCTGTTCATGTTTGCAACAAAGATTTATGGGCCACATACTATTTCTTCTGTTCTTTATATTTGTTTTTCGAGTAAGTGTTGTTGATATGATTGTCAATCAGATTAGACTTGTTTTGCACTGTGTTACATATTGCTGGCAAAACTTATAAAGATTTTATGTAGTACTTAACTTTGGCATGGCTTAATTTACTCCTTCAAATTTCTAAGCATCTTCAGATTGTTTGCTTGTAAGATTTCTTTTTATATTGTATAAAATTCAAGAAGAAGAAAAAAAAGGGGGGCAAAACACTCCATAACTCTGTTGTATCTTTGTTTTAGGAGACTGTTGAGAGTTCTGTAGCATCATTTCCTAAAACTTCAGTTCCTTCCTCCTTTATCAAAAAGGTTTGGGAACTTTTTTGAGTTTCAGCTTAGATCCTCCTTTTTCGCCAACTTATTACAGTCACTTTAGATTATTTGCATATAAAAGAATTCTGCTAAATCACCTTTGAATGGTGAACCTGATGATCAATAAGCCAATGTGCTTAGAAGTGGCTCTATCAGGATGCCTCATATATTCCTCTTTTGTTCCAAAAGGCATTGGCAGATAATGCTGATTTAATCCTTCATACTGGTGTTGGACACTTCATAGACTTTTAAAGTTAAGAAGATGGAAAAAAACATGGTCCTTTTTTTTGGCTGGGATAGAGTTAACAAGAAGCTGGGAGGGGACATAGCCAGAACAGCTGACCCAAACTAGCCAAAGGGATATTCCATACCATATGACACTGTGGTGGTTTGACCCCAGCTGGATGCCAGGTGCCCACCAGAGCTGCTCTATCACTCCCCCTCCTTAACTAGACAGGGGAGAAAAGGTATAATGAAAGGCTTGTGGGTCGAGATAAGGACAGGGAGAGATCATTCACCAACTATCGTCACGGGCAAAACACACTGAACTTGGAGAAAAATTCATCTAATTTATTATCAAGCAGAACAGAGTAGAGCAATGAGAAATAAAATCAAATCTTAAAACACTTTCCCCCACCCCTCCCTTCTTCCTGGGCCTAACTTCACTCCTGATTTCTACCTCCTCCCCCCTCAGCAGCACAGGGGGACGGGGAATGGGGGTTACGGTCAGTTCATCGCATGTTGTTTCTGCCGCTTCTTCATCCTCGGGGGGAGGACTCCTCACACTCTTCCCCTGCTCCAGCATGGGGTCCCTCCCACAGGAGACAGTCCTCCATGAACTTCTCCAACGTGAGTCCTTCCCACGGGCTGCAGTTCTTCACGAACAGCTCCAGTGTGGGTCCCTTCCATGGGGTGCAGACCTTCAGGACC